TCCCTTAACCCACTGTGTTTTCTAAAGGCTGTCTCAAACCGCACTCTAAAATCTACCACTGTCTCATCCTCCTTTTGTCTCAGCTGAGCTAACTTCCCGTACTCAGGTAAAGTTTTGAACATTTCTTTGATTTGATTATGTAGAGTATTTAATCTACCATCAATAAGCGGGTCAGCTGCAGGAAGAGACACAGATGGGTTTGCATTGTTATTTGGGTTATAGTGTTGTCTTAGTCTAGCCCAGTCCACTCCCATTTTCGTCATGTAAATGTCCCTAATTTCAATTCCATTATGTCTGTACATGTCCACTAGTTGTCTCATACCATCACAAAAACCATCTGGGTCTTCTCTATGGCTTGGGACACTTTCTGTGGCTTTTATTATGTCTGCTTTTGTCCATGTACGAAACACATACATTGTAGGCAGACTTCCTAACACTTGTGGATCATGAGTGGGATTGGGCACTTCTATCATTGGAAATGCATCTGCACCTCGCTCTGAGAAGTCAAACCTTGGACTGAAAAGGCTCCCAAAACTTTTGCTCCAAGATGCGTTCATTGGATGCCGTGATCTAGTATCAACAGGTGTTTGCACATCACAGACTTGTGGTTGTGCTGCTGCTTCTAGCTCTGCATGTGGATACAAATGATCCTGTAGTTTTACAGGATGATCTGGGAATGGATTTGTTGTCTGTTGCAGTGGGGTATATTGAGGTGGTGCTGCTGTGTGGTTATGAGCCTGTGCTACAGCCTGCTCTATCTGCACTTGTCTGGGTTGTACTTGCTGCTGTTGTACTGGATTCTGTGGCTGCTGCACAGGGCGTCTCCCTGCTTGCACCAAGTTATCTTCTTCTGATGTGAAGGCAACTAAGCTCGTCCTACTCTTCTTTTCTTTTATTTGCTTATCTCTACACTTTGCAGCTGCTAGCCACAACTCTGCCATTTTCTGTTCATGCACTTGTTTTTCTGTTGCCTTCTTTTTGGACTTAAATCTTAGACTAACTTTCATCACCAGTATTTCACACTCTTTCAGGGTTAGTTTACCCTCAAAACCATATTTCTTTTTCCAGGTTTTCAAATATTTTATAACTGATTCAGGATATTTCTTCTCCATAATTTTAGGGTCTCCGGTCAGAACTATTGCTTTAGTACAGGACATACCCATATTTACTTTTTAGTTATTATTCCGATATCTTCTTCAACTTTTATTTATTAACTATTGCTTATACAACAGTAGATATTAATTACACATTTGTAAACGATCTTAGTGGAATGCCTCACGGGCCAAATTACTTCCTCGAGAAACAAGCTTCTAGATGAAAACCTAATGTTTCATCCGGTTACTCCTGGGTGTTTAATAAGAGGGATGTAATTGTTTTAGACCACTTTCACGATTACTTAAACATAATGAGATGCAATCCGACTCTACTTCACCAAGTCAACAACTTTTTGTTATCACCGCTGGGTTTCCGGTTGTCCGGTGCTTCAAGTATTGAATTGATCTCCTTTCACACACACATTCACACAGACGTCTTTAATTCAAAATGAACCCCGTTCACTTTTAACTGCAGTAAAAAGTAGTCCCCGACTTACTCTTAATAATAACCCCGTTATTATACAGTCTATGATAGTCCCCGACTATCTAAAGATAAACCCCGTTATCCCGGCCCAGACTGCCTGCACTATAGTCCCCGACTATCTAAAGATAAACCCCGTTATCCCGGCCCAGACTGCCTGCACTATAGTCCCCGACTATTTAAAAAGGATAAGGTTAACTTGACTAGACCCTACTAATCTACACACATTTATTAATATGATAATACACATAACATTTATTAACATTATATAAAGTCACCTCCGTGAACACATTCTGCTGTTATGAAAAGTCACCTCCATGAACACATACGGCTGTTATATAAAGTCACCTCCGTGAAAACATACTGCTGTTATATAAATTCACCTTCGTGAACACATACTGCTGTTATATAAAGTCACCTCCGTGAACACGTACTGCTGTTATATAAAGTCACCTCCGTGAACACATACTGCTGTTATATAAAGTCACCTCCGTGAACACATACTGCTGTTATATAAATTCACCTTTGTGAACACATACTGCTGTTATATAAAGTCACCTCCGTGAACACATACTGCTGTTATATAAAGTCACCTCCGTGAACACATACTGCTGTTATATAAAGTCACCTCTGTGAACACATACTGCTGTTATATAAAGTCACCTCCGTGAACACATACTGCTGTTATATAAAGTCACTTCCGTGAACACATACTGCTGTTATATAAAATCACTGTGAACACATACTGCTGTTATATAAAGTCACTGTGAACACATACTACTGTTATACAAAGTCACCTCCGTGAACACACACTGCTGTTATATGAAGTCACCTCCGTGAACACATACTGCTGTTATATAAAGTCACCTCCATGAACACATAAATGTTTTATAAAGTCACCTCCGTGAACACATACTGCTGTTATATAAAGTCACCTCCGTGAACACATACTGCTGTTATATAAAGTCACCTCCGGAAACACATACTGCTGTTATATAAAGTCACCTCCGTGAACACATACTGCTGTTATATAAAGTCACCTCCGTGAACACATACTGCTGTTATATAAAGTCACCTCCGTGAACACATACTGCTGTTATATAAAGTCACCTCCGTGAACACATACTGCTGTTATATAAAGTCACCTCCGTGAACACATACTGCTGTTATATGAAGTCACCTCCGGAAACACATACTGCTGTTGTATAAAGTCACCTCCGTGAACACATATTACTGTTATATAAAGTCACCTCCGTGAACACATACTGCTGTTATATAAAGTCACCTCCGTGAACACATACTGCTGTTATATAAAGTCACCTCCGTGAACACATACTGCTGTTATATAAAGTCACCTCCGTGAACACATACTGCTGTTATATGAAGTCACCTCCGTGAACACATACTGCTGTTATATAAAGTCACCTCCGTGAACACATACTGCAGTTATATAAAGTCACCTCCGTGAACACATACAGCTGTTATATAAAGTCACCTTCGTGAACACATACTGCTGTTATATGAAGTCACCTCCGTGAACACATACTGCTGTTATATAAAGTCACCTCCGTGAACACATACTGCAGTTATATAAAGTCACCTCTGTGAACACATACAGCTGTTATATAAAGTCACCTCCGTGAACACACACTGCTGTTATATAAAGTAACCTTCGTGAACACATACTGCTGTTATATAAAGTCACCTCCATGAACACATAACTGTTTTATAAAGTCACCTCCGTGAACACATACCGCTGTTATATAAAGTCACCTCCGTGAACACATACTGCTGTTATATAAAGTCACCTCCGTGAACACATACTGCTGTTATATAAAGTCACCTCCGTGAACACATACTGCTGTTATATGAAGTCACCTCCGGAAACACATACTGCTGTTGTATAAAGTCACCTCCGTGAACACATACTACTGTTATATAAAGTCACCTCCGTGAACACATACTGCTGTTATATAAAGTCACCTCCGTGAACACATACTGCTGTTATATAAAGTCACCTCCGTGAACACATACTGCTGTTATATAAAGTCACCTCCGTGAACACATACTGCTGTTATATGAAGTCACCTCCGTGAACACATACTGCTGTTATATGAAGTCACCTCCGTGAACACATACTGCTGTTATATAAAGTCACCTCCGCGAACACATACTGCAGTTATATAAAGTCACCTCCGTGAACACATACAGCTGTTATATAAAGTAATCTTCGTGAACACATACTGCTGTTATATAAAGTCACCTTAGTGAACACATTCTGCTGTTATATAAAGTCACCTCCGTGAACACATACTGCTGTTATATAAAGTCACCTCCGTGCACACACACTGCTGTTATATAAAGTCACCTCCGTGAACACATACTGCTGTTATATAAAGTCACCTCCGTGAACACATACTGCTGTTATATGAAGTCACCTCCGTGAACACATACTACTGTTATATGAAGTCACCTCCGTGAACACTGTAGTGGAAATTCAAATACTTCAATGAATAAATCCGAGGAAAACAGCTTGTCTTTGTGCAATTTATTTAAAAGGTGATGAGAGTAACAATACAAAATAAAATCTCTGCAGAGAGTCAGACAGAAGCGGTGCATGCGATGCCTGCACTGCCTCTCTCTGCCTGCTCACATTCCAACATTCGATAATATACTCTGCAATAAACCAGAACAATGAACAATGATCACAGATGTCTGCAGTGGTGGGGGCAAGGTTGGTTACTTCATGCATGGAGGGCAGTTTTGGAAGATAGCGAGGGAACAAAGAGATAGTGAAGGAACAAGCAGATAACGCACCTGCAATACAATTTTAACATTATAACGAGCAAGCAAAAGGCCATGGGAAAGAGAGCAGGAGAGAAGGCCCCTTTGTAGACAAGCGGCCTTTGTCTCACATGTATCAGTGAGTTTAGTACAATATATTCTGTCTATGTGAAACTTACCACAACAACACATACTGCTGTTATATAAAGTCACCTCCGTGAACACATACTGCTGTTATATAAAGTCACCTCCGTGAACACATACTGCTGTTATATAAAGTCACCTCCGTGAACACATACTGCTGTTATATAAAGTCACCTCCGTGAACACATACTGCTGTTATATAGTCTGTGAAGGTCTCAGACACAGATAGACTGCAGAGCTTCTTTATTGGAGAAGAACTTTACACAAAAAGCTGCTAGCTTAACTCTGTTAGTGTCAAAATCCGTCTGCCACTTCCACCACGGCAGCAGGACGTTCTGGTCCGAAGACCCCTGCGTCTGAAAATTAGAGAATATGCGTCTGCTGCGCGAGGCTGCAGCGTTCCAGCGTTGGCGTCTGAACGCAGCTGAACGCCTCCTGTGGACTTTAGCTGTCAGTCTGAATTTGCGGTTAAGCTTTATGAATGTTTGTGTTTACAGGAGGAGTTGGAAGAGAATGAGGTGCAGGAGAAGGAGGTGCAGGAGGAGGAGGTGTCCCAAAGTGAAGCTCTGGAAAAGTACGGCTCTCATAAACATGTGTTAAAGCTCGTATACCTAAATTATGTCCAATAGAATAAGTTCAAGTAAAATCCTCTGTGTCAGACAGGTCCCTGTGAGTCAGTATCTGCAAGTCCCTGTGAGTCAGTATCTGCAGGTCCTTGTGAGTCAGTATCTGCAGGTCCCTGTGAGTCAGTATCTGCAAGTCCCTGTGAGTCAGTATCTGCAGGTCCCTGTGAGTCAGTATCTGCAGGTCCCTGTGAGTCACAGGTCCCTGTGAGTCAGTATCTGCAGGTTCCTGTGAGTCACAGGTCCCTGTGAGTCAGTATCAACAGGTTTGAAGTTACAGACCCTAGCTTTTAAGTCTACAGTCCTGTACCACAGCTCTAACTTCTTGTATCTCTAACTTCTTGTATCTCTAACTTCTTGTATCTCTTATTTCCTGTATCTCTAACTGCCTGTATTTCTAACTTCCTGTATCTCTAACTTCCTGTATCTTTAACTTCCTGTATCTCTAACGTCCTGTATCTCTAACTTCCTGTATCTCTAACTTGCAGGTATGAGAGCTCTAAGCTTTTGCTTCAGACCCAGATGTTAAAGATTGAACAGAGCTTTAAGGACGTGTCCTCAGACTCTGTGTCTCTGACAGGACTCCACAGCAGACTGCAGGAGATACAGGTGAGAGACCACTCAGAGAGAGAGACCCTCTGAGATACAGGTGAGAGACCCCCTCTGAGTTACAGGTGAGAGACCCCTCAGAGACACCCATCAGAGAGAGAGACCCCCTCTGAGTTACAGGTGAGAGACCCCTCAGAGAGAGAAACCCCCTCTGAGATACAGATGAGAGACCCCTCAGAGAGAGAGAGACCCCCTCTGAGTTACAGGTGAGAGACCCCTCAGAGAGAGAGACCCCCTCTGAGCTACAGGTGAGAGACCCCTCAGAGAGAGAGACCCTCTGAGATACAGGTGAGAGACCCCCTCTGAGAGAGAGACCCTCTGAGATACAGGTGAGAGACCCCTCAGAGAGAGAGACCCCCTCTAAGTCACAGGTGAGAGACCCCTCAGAGAGACCCCCTCTGAGATACAGGTGAGAGACCCCACAGAGAGAGAGACCCCCTCTGAGTTACAGGTGAGACACCCCTCAGAGAGAGAGACCCCCTCTGAGATACAGGTGAGAGACCCCTCAGAGAGAGAGAGACCCCCCCTCTGAGTTACAGATGAGAGACCTCTCAGAGAGAGAGACCCCCTCTGAGATACAGATTTTAAACCCCTCAGAGAGAGACTCCCTCTGAGTTACAGATGAGAGACCTCTCAGAGAGAGAGACCCCCTCTGAGATACAGGTGAGAGACTACTCAGAGAGAGACCCCCTCTGAAAAACAGGTGAGAGACCCATCAGAGAGAGAGACCCTCTGAGATACAGGTGAGAGACCCATCAGAGAGAGAGAGAGACCCCCTCTGAGTTACAGGTGAGAGACCCCTCAGAGAGAGAGACCCCCTCTGAGATACAGGTGAGAGACTACTCATAGAGAGAGAGACCTCCTCTGAGGTTCAGGTGAGAGACCCATCAGAGAGAGAGACCCTCTGAGATACAGGTGAGAGGCCCCTCAGAGAGAGAGACCCTCGGAGATATAGATGAGAGACCCCACAGAGAGAGACCCCCTCTGAGATGCAGGTGAGAGACCCCTCAGAGAGAGAGAGAGTTCCCCTTTGGGAGAGAGACCCCCTCTGATAGAGAGAGAGCCCCACCTGTCTCTCAAAGAGGGTCTCTGTCTGACTTGTGACCTCTGACCTGTGCCCTCTGACCTGTGACCTCTGACCTGTGCCCTGTGACCTGTGACTTCTGACCACTGACCTGTTTCCTCTGACCTGTGACCTCTGACATGTGACCACTGAATTCTGACCTGTGACCTATGACCTTTAACCTGTAACCACTGACCTCTGGCATGTGACCTCTGACCTGTGTCCTGTGACCTCTGACTTGTGACCACTGACCTCTGACCACTGACCTCTGACTAGTGACCTCTGACTTGTGACCTGTTACCTCTGACTTGTGACCTCTGATCTGTGACCTTTGACCTGTGACCTTTGACCTGTAACCACTTACCTCTAACCTGTGACCACTGACCTCTGACCTGTGCCTACCGACCTCTGACCTGTGTCCTCTGACCTGTGACTTGTGACCTCTGACCTTTGACCTGTAACCACTGACCTTTGACCTGTGTCCTCTGACCTGTGACCACTGACCTCTGACCTTTGACCTGTAACCACTGACCTGTGACCACTGACTTCTGACCAAAGGTCGGCTCTGACCTGTGACCACTGACCTGTGACCACTGACTTCTGACCAAAGGTTGGCTCTGACCTGTGTCCTCTGACTTGTGATCTTTGACCTGTGACTTGTGACCACTGACCACTGTCCTCTGACCTCTGACCTTTGACCTGTAACCACTGACCTTTGACCTGTGTCCTCTGACCTGTGACCACTGACCTGTGACTTCTTTCTGCTGGTGCAGTTCTTGCGGCAGGACACCGAGGCTCTGTGGGCAGACTACATTTCCCAGAGTACACCTCTGCCCTGGGTGGGGGCTGAGAGGGCGGAGCTTCAGCAGCAGTGGTGTCAGCAGCAGCAGAGGCTGCAGTCCCGCGGCAGCTCCCTGGGGGCAGCACTGAGGCAGATAGACTCCACAGAGAACCACATGGTGGACTTCACCGACCGACTCCACCGCTTCCTACGGCAACCGAAGGACACGAGCGGCTTCAGCCTGGCCAACTCCAGCCTGCTCAAGGACATCCAGGTGAGGACCACACACCAACATGCTTTTATAATGCAACAGTTGTGGATTCACCGACAACAGATCAGAAAATCACTTAACACAGGAAGTACAATTATAACAAACACACAGGAGCTGTAGATCCAGGACTGAGACTGTCTCTCTGGTCTCGCTCTGGTCTCTGGCTGGTCTTTCTTGTGTCTCTCTCTGGTCTCTACCTGGTCTCTCCCTGGTCTCTCTCTGGTCTCTCTCTCTGGTCCCTCTCTGGGCTCTCTCTAGTCCCTCTCTGGTCTCTCTCTCGGCTCTTTCTCTGGTCTCTCTCTGGTCTCTGGTCTGATGCTGTTGTGTTCCAGGACCTGGATGAGAACCTCCAGAGTGAGCTGGAGCAGCTGTCCCTGGTCTCGGACTGTTCTGGTTTGGACCCCAGGGACCGGCCCCCTCTGTCCCTGGAGGTGGAGGGTCACAGGTCTAGTCTGCAGCAGCTCCGGCAGCAGGTCCAGAAGAGCGAGGCTGCAGCTCGAGCTCTGGTCCACTTCCTGCTGTCGCTGAGGACTGTGGACCAGGACATCACCGCTGTGCAGAGTGCCCCCTGCCCTGGAGATGTGGTACTGCACCATCACTGCAACACACTACAACACACTGATACACTACTGCAATGTGATGTGAGGTCTGTGACACAGGTGTAATGTGAGCACACAGGTGTAGTGTGAGGTCTGTAACACAGGTGTAATGTGAGGTCTGTAACACAGGTGTAATGTGAGGTCTGTAACACAGGTGTAATGTGAGGTCTGTAACACAGGTGTAATGTGAGGTCTGTAACACAGGTGTAATGTGAGGTCTGTAACACAGGTGTAATGTGAGGTCTGTGACACAGGTGTAACACTGGTATAATGTGAGGTCTGTGACACAGGTGTAATGTGAGGTCTGTAACACAGGTGTAATGTGAGGTCTGTGACACAGGTGTAACAAAGGTGTAATGTGAGGTCTGTAACACAGGTGTAATGTGAGGTCTGTGACACAGGTGTAATGTGAGGTCTGGAACACAAGTGTAATGTGAGGTCTGTAACACAGGTGTAATGTGAGGTCTGTAACACAGGTGTAATGTGAGGTCTGTGACACAGGTGTAATGTGAGGTCTGTAATACAAGTGTAATGTGAGGTCTGTAACACAGGTGTAATGTGAGGTCTGTAACACAAGTGTAATGTGAGGTCTGTAACACAGGTGTAATGTGAGGTCTGTAACACAGGTGTAATGTGAGGTCTGTAACACAGGTGTATTGTGAGGTCTGTGACACAGGTGTAACACTGGTGTAATGTGAGGTCTGTGACACAGGTGTAATGTGAGGTCTGTAACACAGGTGTAATGTGAGGTCTGTGACACAGGCGTAACACAGGTGTAATGTGAGGTCTGTAACACAGGTGTAATGTGAGGTCTGTGACACAGGTGTAATGTGAGGTCTGTAACACAAGTGTAATATGAGGTCTTTAACACAGGTGTAATGTAATGTGAGGTCTGTAACACAGGTGTAATGTGAGGTCTGTGACACAGGTGTAATGTGAGGTCTGTAACACAAGTGTAATGTGAGGTCTGTAACACAGGTGTAACACAGGAGTAATATGAGGTCTGTGACACAGGTGTGACACAGGTGTGACACAGGTGTAACACAGGTGTAACACAGGTGTGGTGTGTTACAGAAGGCCCTAAGTGTGATCCGTCAGAGCATCGACAGCCTCAAAGCCAAAGCTCCACAACTGGATGTTCTCCTTCAGGGAGCTCGCCTCAGCGTGACCCAGGACTCAGAGCCCACTTCCTGCCTGCACATGGTGTCAGGGTTGGTGCTGAGGCTGGAGGAGGTGGAGGCCAGTCAGAGGGATCTCAAGACCCAGGAGGAGGTGCAAACCAGTCTGAGGGATCTGAAGACCCAGGAGGAGGTGCAAACCAGTCTGAGGGATCTGAAGACCCAGGAGGAGGTGGAGGCCAGTCTGAGGGATCTGAAGACCCAGGAGGAGCTGCAAACCAGTCTGAGGGATCTGAAGACCCAGGAGGAGGTGCAAACCAGTCTGAGGGATCTGAAGACCCAGGAGGAGGTGCAAACCAGTCTGAGGGATCTGAAGACCCAGGAGGAGGTGGAGGCCAGTCTGAGGGATCTGAAGACTCAGGAGGAGGTGCAAACCAGTCTGAGGGATCTGAAGACCCAGGAGGAGGTGCAAACCAGTCTGAGGGATCTGAAGACCCAGGAGGAGGTGCAAACCAGTCTGAGGGATCTGAAGACCCAGGAGGAGGTGGAGGCCAGTGTGAGGGATCTGAAGACCCAGGAGGAGGTGCAGACCAGTCTGAGGGATCTGAAGACCCAGGAGGAGGTGCAAACCAGTCTGAGGGATCTGAAGACCCAGGAGGAGGTGCAAACCAGTTTGAGGGATCTGAGGACCCAGGAGGAGGTGGAGGAGGCCAGTCTGAGGGATCTGACCCAGGCCAGTCTGACAGTAGAAGAGAGAGGAGAGAAGAGAGGAGAGAGGACTGATGGAAGCTGTAGTGATCTGAAGAAACTGGAAGATCTGGGACCAAGGCCCAAAGAAGAAACAGATGGAGGCCAGAGAGAAGAGCAGAGACTGGGCGGGCTGAGAGAGCAGCCACAGCCGCAGCCACAGCCGCAGCCACAGGTGCAGCCACAGCTGCAGACACAGCCACAGACACAGCCGCAACCACAGCTGCAGCCACAGCCACAGCTGCGGACACAGCTACAGACAAAACTGCGGCCACAGCTGCAGACACAGCCACAGACAGTGCCGCAGACACAGCCGCAGACACAGCCACAGACAAAACTGCAGCCACAGCTGCAGACACAGCCTCCCTGCAGGTCCACTGGTCTGAGGAAGAGAGCGCTGATGAGTGATCTCCGTAAACTGCAGGATGCGGTGGAGTCACAGGAGCTGAAGGAGCCCACCCTGCCAGCTCTGCAGCAGAGGTACGTCTGTGTAACACAGGTGTACTGTGAGCTCAGTAACACAGGTGTAATGTGTTCCCAGACTCAGGTCTCTCTCAGACCTGGACTCGCAGCTCCAGTCCCTTCAGCCTGAGCTCCTCAGTCTCTCTGAGATTCAGGATTCCCAGGGGTCGCTACGGGAAGATCTCCTCGACGAGGTGCAGCGACAGTGGGACGAGACCTGCAGAGCACTGGCCTCCAGGTCTGTAACCACACATGTTAAAGCTCAGGTCTGTAACTTTAGTCTGAATAACACATGTTAAAGCTCAGGTCTGTAACTTTAGTCTAAATAACACATGTTTAAAGCTCAGGTCTGTAACTTTAGTCTGAATAACACATGTTAAAGCTCAGGTCTGTAACTTTAGTCTGAATAACACATGTTAAAGCTCAGGTCTGTAACTTTAGTCTAAATAACACATGTTTAAAGCTCAGGTCTGTAACTTTAGTCTGAATAACACATGTTAAAGCTCAGGTCTGTAACTTTAGTCTGAATAACACATGTTTAAAGCTCAGGTCTGTAACTTTAGTCTGAATAACACATGTTAAAGCTCAGGTCTGTAACTTTAGTCTGAATAACACATGTTAAAGCTCAGGTCTGTAACTTTAGTCTAAATAACACATGTTTAAAGCTCAGGTCTGTAACTTTAGTCTGAATAACACATGTTAAAGCTCAGGTCTGTAACTTTAGTCTAAATAACACATGTTAAAGCTCAGGTCTGTAACTTTAGTCTAAATAACACATGTTTAAAGCTCAGGTCTGTAACTTTAGTCTAAATAACACATGTTTAAAGCTCAGGTCTGTAACTTTAGTCTGAATAACACATGTTAAAGCTCAGGTCTGTAACTTTAGTCTAAATAACACATGTTTAAAGCTCAGGTCTGTAACTTTAGTCTGAATAACACATGTTTAAAGCTCAGGTCTGTAACTTTAGTCTGAATAACACATGTTTAAAGCTCAGGTCTGTAACTTTAGTCTAAATAACACATGTTTAAAGCTCAGGTCTGTAACTTTAGTCTGAATAACACATGTTTAAAGCTCCGGTCTGTAACTTTAGTCTGAATAACACATGTTTAAAGCTCAGGTCTGTAACTTTAGTCTAAATAACACATGTTTAAAGCTCAGGTCTGTAACTTTAGTCTAAATAACACATGTTTAAAGCTCAGGTCTGTAACTTTAGTCTAAATAACACATGTTTAAAGCTCAGGTCTGTAACTTTAGTCTAAATAACACATGTTTAAAGCTCAGGTCTGTAACTTTAGTCTGAATAACACATGTTTAAAGCTCAGGTCTGTAACTTTAGTCTGAATAACACATGTTTAAAGCTGAGGTCTATCTACAGGTCCCTGTGAGTCAGTATCTGCCTCTTTGGGCTGAGAGCCGATTGGCTGAGAGAGGGTGGTCATCTTTGATCTAAACATGTGACATCACAAATGCATGAAATTAGAGACATGGGTTGAATACAGTTCTATTGGTCTGAGAGTCACAGACCCCAGCTTTAAAGTCACAGACCCCAGCTTTAAAGTCACAGACCCCAGCTTTAAAGTCACAGACCCCAGCTTTAAAGTCACAGACCCCAGCTTTAAAGGCACAGACCCCAGCTTTAAAGTCACAGACCCCAGCTTTAAAGTCACAGACCCCAGCTTTAAAGTCACAGACCCCAGCTTTAAAGTCAAAGACCCCAGCTTTAAAGTCACAGACCCCAGCTTTAAAGTCACAGATCCCAGCTTTAAAGTCACAGACCCCAGCTTTAAAGCCACAGACCCCAGCTTTAAAGTCACAGACCCCAGCTTTAAAGCCACAGACCCCAGCTTTAAAGCCACAGACCCCAGCTTTAAAGTCACAGACCCCAGCTTTAAAGTCACAGACCCCAGCTTTAAAGTCACAGACCCCAGCTTTAAAGTCACAGACCCCAGCTTTAAAGCCACAGACCCCAGCTTTAACGCCACAGACCCCAGCTTTAAAGTCACAGACCCCAGCTTTAAAGTCACAGACCCCAGCTTTAAAGCCACAGACCCCAGCTTTAAAGTCACAGACCCCAGCTTTAAAGTCACAGACCCCAGCTTTAAAGCCACAGACCCCAGCTTTAAAGTCACAGACCCCAGCTTTAAAGCCACAGACCCCAGCTTTAAAGTCACAGACCCCAGCTTTAAAGCCACAGACCCCAGCTTTAAAGTCACAGACCCCAGCTTTAAAGCCCTCTGTGTTGCAGGAGGCAGCAGTGCAGTGTCCTCTCGGAGTCACTGAAGTCCTTCCAGAGTCTCAGAGCAGACGTCAGGTCCAGTCTGCAGAGAGCGGAGACCACTGTGGGAGAGACGGCCTCCTACATGGGACGGGACAACCTGCAGAAGACCATCACCAAGGTACAGCCTCAGTCCTGGGTCTACAGCCTCAGTCCTGAGTCTACAGCCTCAGTCCTGGGTCTACAGCCTCAGTCCTGAGTCTACAGCCTCAGTCCTGGTCTACAGCCTCAGTCCTGGGTCTACAGCCTCAGTCCTGGGTCTACAGCCTCAGTCCTGAGTCTACAGCCTCAGTCCTGGGTCTACAGCCTCAGTCCTGAGTCTACAGCCTCAGTCCTGGTCTACAGCCTCAGTCCTGGGTCTACAGCCTCAGTCCTGGGTCTACAGCCTCAGTCCTGGGTCTACAGCCTCAGTCCTGGGTCTACAGCCTCATGATATTCTGCAGTATCTTTAATCTCATACATATGTGTGTGTGGGTCTGTCTGTCTGTCTGTCTGTGTGTGTGTCTGTGTGTGTCTGTGTGTGTGTCTGTGTGTGTGTGTGTGTGTGTGTGTGTGTGTGTGTGTGTGTGTGTGTGTGTGTGTGTCTGTGTCTGTGTGTGTGTCTGTGTCTGTGTGTGTGTGTGTGTGTGTGTGTGTGTGTGTGTGTGTGTGTGTGTGTGTGTGTGTGTGTGTGTGTGTGTGTGTGTGTGTGTGTGTGTGTGTGTGCAGGTCCTGCAGGTGAAGCAGCTCCTGTGCTCTCTGTCAGCTCCCATAGAGCAGCTCAGAGCAGTGTGCAGACACCTCCACAGTCACCTGAAGGAGACCCAGTGTGAACACAGTCAGTACCACAGAGAAGCAGAGGCTCTCATGGACTCATGGCTGGATGTGAGAGACACACACACACACACACACACACACACACACACACACACACACACACACACACACACACACAGACACACACACACAGACACAAACACACAAACACACACACACACACACAGACACACAGACACACAGACACACACACAGACACAGACACACAGACACACACACACACACACACACACACACACACACACACACACACACACACACACACACACAGACAGACACACACAGACACACACACACACACACACACACACACACACACACACACACACACACACACACACACAGATGCACACACAGACCTCTGACCCTTGCCTCTGACCTCTGACCCTTGACCCCTAACCTCTGACCCCTGACACCTCACCCTGACCCTGACCCCTGACCTCTGACCCCTGACCCTGACCTCTGACCCTGACCCCTGACGTCTAACCCCTGACCTCTCACCCCTGACCCCTGACCTCTGACCCCTGACCCTGACCTCTGACCCCTGACTCTGACCCTGACCTCTGACTCCGGACTCTGACCCCTGTGTGCAGGTGACAGAGCGCACAGAGCTGTGCAGTGAGAACCTACAAGTGGCGCTGCAGCTTTGGGACAAACAGCTGCTGTTGGGGTCAGAGGTCGAAGCCTGGGCCACAAACAAACTGGAACTGTTCGCTGTCAGTCACCCCTTCCACCAGGAGGCGCAGGTCCAGGCCATGAGGGTGAGGAGGAGAGGGAGGAGAGGGAGGCGCAGGTCCAGGCCATGAGGGTGAGGAGAGGGAGGAGAGGGAGGCGAGGGAGGAGAGGGAGGCGCAGGTCCAGGCCATGAGGGTGAGGAGGAGAGGGAGGAGAGGGAGGCGCAGGTCCAGGCCATGAGGGTGAGGAGAGGGAGGAGAGGGAGGAGAGGGAGGCGCAGGTCCAGGCCATGAGGGTGAGGAGGAGAGGGAGGAGAGGGAGGCGCAGGTCCAGGCCATGAGGGTGAGGAGAGGGAGGAGAGGGAGGAGAGGGAGGCGCAGGTCCAGGCCATGAGGGTGAGGAGGAGAGGGAGGAGAGAGAGGCGCAGGTCCAGGCCATGAGGGTGAGGAGGAGAGGGAGGAGAGGGAGGCGCAGGTCCAGGCCATGAGGGTGAGGAGGAGAGAGAGGAGAGTAAGGCGCAGGTCCAGGCCATGAGGGTGAGGAGGGGTAGAGGAATGAGAGAAGGGAGGTCCTAGCCATGAGGGGAAGGGGGAGGAGACGGGAAGGCCATGAGGGGGAGAAAGAGGAGGAGGAGCAGGATATGGAGGAGGAGAAGGAGGTGATGGAAAAAACATTCTTTAAAGTTATTTTCTGTTTCAGGATGAGATCAACAAACATGAGGAGAACATGAAACATTTCCACAAGAAGTCTGCACAGATACAGGAGGTGCTGAGGAGCCAGGAACCTCCTCTGGAGCTGCAGGTGAGGGAGGAGAGAAAAGAGAAACAGGAGCCAGGAACCTCCTAGCTCCAAGGTCTGGTCCTAGCTCTAAGGTCTGGTCCTAGCTCTAAGGTCTGGTCCTAGCTCTTAGGTCTGGTCCTAGCTCTTAGGTCTGGTCCTAGCTCTAAGGTCTGGTCCTAGCTCTTAGGTCTGGTCCTAGCTCTAAGGTCTGGTCCTAGCTCTTAGGTCTGGTCTTAGCTCTTAGGTCTGGTCCTAGCTCTAAGGTCTGGTCCTAGCTCTAAGGTCTGGTCCTAGCTCTAAGGTCAGGTCCTAGCTCTTAGGTCTGGTCCTAGCTCTAAGGTCTGGTCCTAGCTCTAAGGTCTGGTCCTAGCTCTTAGGTCTGGTCCTAGCTCTAAGGTCTGGTCCTAGCTCTAAGGTCTGGTCCTAGCTCTTAGGTCTGGTCCTAGCTCTAAGGTCTGGTCCTAGCTCTAAGGTCTGGTCCTAGCTCTTAGGTCTGGTCCTAGCTCTAAGGTCTGGTCCTAGCTCTTAGGTCTGGTCCTAGCTCTAAGGTCTGGTCCTAGCTCTAAGGTCTGGTCCTAGCTCTAAGGTCTGGTCCTAGCTCTTAGGTCTGGTCCTAGCTCTAAGGTCTGGTCCTAGATCTAAGGTCTGGTCCTAGCTCTTAGGTCTGGTCCTAGATCTAAGGTCTGGTCCTAGCTCTTAGGTCTGGTCCTAGCTCTTAGGTCTGGTCCTAGCTCTAAGGTCTGGTCCTAGCTCTAAGGTCTGGTCTTAGCTCTTAGGTCTGGTCCTAGCTCTAAGGTCTGGTCTTAGCTCTTAGGTCTGGTCCTAGCTCTTAGGTCTGGTCCTAGCTCTTAGGTCTGGTCTTAGCTCTCTTAGGTCTGGTCCTAGCTCTTAGGTCTGGTCCTAGCTCTAAGGTCTGGTCTTAGCTCTTAGGTCTGGTCCTAGCTCTAAGGTCTGGTCCTAGCTCTAAGGTCTGGTCCTAGCTCTAAGGTCTGGTCCTAGCTCTAAGGTCTGGTCCTAGCTCTAAGGTCTGGTCCTAGCTCTTAGGTCTGGTCCTAGCTCTAAGGTCTGGTCCTAGCTCTAAGGTCTGGTCCTAGCTCTAAGGTCTGGTCCTAGCTCTAAGGTCTGGTCCTAGCTCTAAGGTCTGGTCCTAGCTCTTAGGTCTGGTCCTAGCTCTTAGGTCTGGTCCTAGCTCTAAGGTCTGGTCTTAGCTCTTAGGTCTGGTCCTAGCTCTAAGGTCTGGTCCTAGCTCTTAGGTCTGGTCCTAGCTCTAAGGTCTGGTCCTAGCTCTTAGGTCTGGTCCTAGCTCTTAGGTCTGGTCCTAGCTCTTAGGTCTGGTCCTAGCTCTAAGGTCTGGTCCTAGCTCTAAGGTCTGGTCCTAGCTCTAAGGTCTGGTCCTAGCTCTAAGGTCTGGTCCTAGCTCTAAGGTCTGGTCCTAGCTCTTAGGTCTGATCCTAGCTCTTAGGTCTGGTCCTAGGTCTTAGGTCGGTTCCTAGCTCTAAGGTCTGGTCCTAGCTCTAAGCTCTGGTCCTAGCTCTAAGGTCTGGTCCTAGCTCTAAGGTCTGGTCCTAGCTCTTAGGTCTGGTCTTAGCTCTTAGGTCTGGTCCTAGCTCTAAGGTCTGGTCCTAGCTCTAAGGTCTGGTCCTAGCTCTTAGGTCTGGTCCTAGCTCTAAGGTCTGGTCCTAGCTCTAAGGTCTGGTCTTAGCTCTTAGGTCTGGTCCTAGCTCTTAGGTCTGGTCCTAGCTCTAAGGTCTGGTCCTAGCTCTAAGGTCTGGTCCTAGCTCTAAGGTCTGGTCCTAGCTCTAAGGTCTGGTCCTAGCTCTTAGGTCTGGTCTTAGCTCTTAGGTCTGGTCCTAGCTCTAAGGTCTGGTCCTAGCTCTAAGGTCTGGTCCTAGCTCTAAGGTCTGGTCCTAGCTCTTAGGTCTGGTCCTAGCTCTAAGGTCTGGTCCTAGCTCTAAGGTCTGGTCCTAGCTCTAAGGTCTGGTCCTAGCTCTAAGGTCTGGTCCTAGCTCTTAGGTCTGGTCTTAGCTCTTAGGTCTGGTCCTAGCTCTAAGGTCTGGTCCTAGCTCTAAGGTCTGGTCCTAGCTCTTAGGTCTGGTCCTAGCTCTAAGGTCTGGTCCTAGCTCTAAGGTCTGGTCTTAGCTCTTAGGTCTGGTCCTAGCTCTTAGGTCTGGTCCTAGCTCTAAGGTCTGGTCCTAGCTCTTAGGTCTGGTCCTAGCTCTTAGGTCTGGTCCTAGCTCTAAGGTCTGGTCCTAGCTCTAAGGTCTGGTCCTAGCTCTTAGGTCTGGTCCTAGCTCTTAGGTCTGGTCCTAGCTCTAAGGTCTGGTCCTAGCTCTAAGGTCTGGTCCTAGCTCTTAGGTCTGGTCCTAGCTCTAAGGTCTGGTCCTAGCTCTTAGGTCTGGTCCTAGCTCTAAGGTCTGATCCTAGCTCTTAGGTCTGGTCCTAGCTCTTAGGTCTGGTCCTAGCTCTTAGGTCTGGTCCTAGCTCTTAGGTCTGGTCCTAGCTCTAAGGTCTGGTCCTAGCTCTAAGGTCTGGTCCTAGCTCTAAGGTCTGGTCCTAGCTCTTAGGTCTGGTCCTAGATCTAAGGTCTGGTCCTAGCTCTTAGGTCTGGTCCTAGCTCTAAGGTCTGGTCCTAGCTCTAAGGTCTGGTCCTAGCTCTAAGGTCTGGTCCTAGCTCTTAGGTCTGGTCCTAGCTCTTAGGTCTGGTCCTAGATCTAAGGTCTGGTCTTAGCTCTAAGGTCTGGTCCTAGCTCTTAGGTCTGGTCCTAGCTCTAAGGTCTGATCCTAGCTCTAAGGTCTGGTCCTAGCTCTAAGGTCTGGTCCTAGCTCTAAGGTCTGGTCTTAGCTCTTAGGTCTGGTCCTAGCTCTAAGGTCTGGTCCTAGCTCTAAGGTCTGGTCCTAGCTCTAAGGTCTGGTCCTAGCTCTAAGGTCTGGTCTTAGCTCTTAGGTCTGGTCCTAGCTCTAAGGTCTGGTCCTAGCTCTAAGGTCTGGTCCTAGCTCTAAGGTCTGGTCCTAGCTCTTAGGTCTGGTCCTAGCTCTAAGGTCTGGTCCTAGCTCTTAGGTCTGGTCCTAGCTCTTAGGTCTGGTCCTAGCTCTAAGGTCTGGTCCTAGCTCTAAGGGCTGGTCTTAGCTCTTAGGTCTGGTCCTAGCTCTAAGGTCTGGTCCTAGCTCTAAGGTCTGGTCCTAGCTCTTAGGTCTGGTCCTAGCTCTTAGGTCTGGTCCTAGCTCTTAGGTCTGGTCCTAGCTCTAAGGTCTGGTCCTAGCTCTAAGGTCTGGTCTTAGCTCTTAGGTCTGGTCCTAGCTCTAAGGTCTGGTCCTAGCTCTAAGGGCTGGTCTTAGCTCTTAGGTCTGGTCCTAGCTCTAAGGTCTGGTCCTAGCTCTAAGGTCTGGTCCTAGCTCTTAGGTCTGGTCCTAGCTCTTAGGTCTGGTCCTAGCTCTAAGGTCTGGTCCTAGCTCTAAGGTCTGGTCTTAGCTCTAAGGTCTGGTCCTAGCTCTTAGGTCTGATCCTAGCTCTTAGGTCTGGTCCTAGCTCTTAGGTCTGGTCCTAGCTCTAAGGTCTGGTCCTAGCTCTAAGGTCTGGTCCTAGCTCTAAGGTCTGGTCCTAGCTCTAAGGTCTGGTCCTAGCTCTTAGGTCTGATCCTAGCTCTAAGGTCTGGTCTTAGCTCTTAGGTCTGGTCCTAGCTCTAAGGTCTGGTCTTAGCTCTAAGGTCTGGTCCTAGCTCTTAGGTCTGGTCCTAGCTCTAAGGTCTGGTCCTAGCTCTAAGGTCTGGTCCTAGCTCTAAGGTCTGGTCCTAGCTCTTAGGTCTGATCCTAGCTCTAAGGTCTGGTCTTAGCTCTAAGGTCTGGTCCTAGCTCTAAGGTCTGGTCTTAGCTCTAAGGTCTGGTCCTAGCTCTTAGGTCTGATCCTAGCTCTTAGGTCTGGTCCTAGCTCTTAGGTCTGGTCCTAGCTCTAAGGTCTGGTCCTAGCTCTAAGGTCTGATCCTAGCTCTAAGGTCTGGTCCTAGCTCTAAGGTCTGGTCCTAGCTCTAAGGTCTGGTCCTAGCTCTTAGGTCTGGTCCTAGCTCTAAGGTCTGGTCCTAGCTCTAAGCTCTGGTCCTAGCTCTAAGGTCTGGTCCTAGCTCTAAGGTCTGGTCCTAGCTCTTAGGTCTGGTCTTAGCTCTTAGGTCTGGTCCTAGCTCTAAGGTCTGGTCCTAGCTCTTAGGTCTGGTCCTAGCTCTTAGGTCTGGTCCTAGCTCTTAGGTCTGGTCCTAGCTCTAAGCTCTGGTCCTAGCTCTAAGGTCTGGTCCTAGCTCTAAGGTCTGGTCCTCGCTCTAAGGTCTGGTTCTCGTTCTAAGGTCTGGTCGTAGCTCTAAGGTCTGGTCCTAGCTCTAAGGTCTGGTCCTAGCTCTAAGGTCTGGTCCTAGCTCTTAGGTCTGGTCCTAGCTCTAAGGTCTGGTCCTAGCTCTAAGGTCTGGTCCTAGCTCTTAGGTCTGGTCCTAGCTCTAAGGTCTGGTCCTAGATCTAAGGTCTGGTCCTAGCTCTTAGGTCTGGTCCTAGCTCTAAGGTCTGGTCCTAGCTCTAAGGTCTGGTCCTAGCTCTAAGGTCTGGTCCTAGCTCTAAGGTCTGGTTCTCGTTCTAAGGTCTGGTCGTAGCTCTAAGGTCTGGTCCTAGCTCTAAGGTCTGGTCCTAGCTCTAAGGTCTGGTCCTAGCTCTTAGGTCTGGTCCTAGCTCTAAGGTCTGGTCCTAGCTCTAAGGTCTGGTCCTAGCTCTTAGGTCTGGTCCTAGCTCTAAGGTCTGGTCCTAGCTCTAAGGTCTGGTCCTAGCTCTTAGGTCTGGTCCTCGCTCTAAGGTTTGGTCCTAGCTCTAAGGTCTGGTCCTAGCTCTAAGGTCTGGTCCTCGCTCTAAGGTCTGGTCCTCGCTCTAAGGTCTACTTGTGTGCAGGTGATGGGCACCTCCCTGAGGAGGCGCATGGAGCAGGTGAAGGAGCTGTTTGCAGACTGCACAGATGTGTTCCAGGAGCTGATGGCTGTGAAGAAACATCTGACACAGAGACTGGAGGAGAACCAGGAGGCGCTGGAGCACCTCCAGACAAAGATCTGTGGGAGCGACGTCCTCCTGCAGGTATGTGGAGGAGAGGAGGAGAACCAGGAGGCGTTGAAGCACCTCCAGACCAGGTCCTCCTGCTGAATGAGGGTTAGAGCTGACCCCATGATGACGTTTGTTACCTCCAGGAGGTGTGTGAGGAGGTGCAGTCTCTGGAGCAGCAGAGCGAGGCCGTGCTGAAGGAGGTGTCTCTGGTCTCCTCCGTGGCCTCCCCTCAGGCTCTGGAGGCGCTGGCTGAAGACTGCATTAGGCTCCGACAGACTCTGACCCGGACCAAGGAGATGCTCCTCCTGAGGAGAGAGGAGGCGCAGCAAGGCCTGCTCCAAGTCTTGCAAGGTACCACCTCCTCAGACACCCGGTCCTGAGAGACCCGGTCCTTACAGACCGGGCCCTTAGGGACCGGGCCCTGAGAGACCCAGTCCATTTTAACTTTAAACCAGTGCAGAGGGTGATGTGCACTTTATCTCTGATTCAGAGATTTGGAAACACACACACACACACAGACACACACACACACACACACAGACACAAACACACACACAGACACACACACACACACAGAAACGCACGCACACACACAGACACACACACAGACACACAAACACACACACAGACACACACACACACACACACAGACACACACACACACACACAGACACACAAACACACACACAGACACACACACACACACACACAGGTCTAAGATAAAGTTGTTGTTTCAGACGAGCGTCATTCCTTCGAGCAGTGGTTCCAGGATCAACAGTTTTCAGTAAACGAGTGTTTTGAGAGTGTTCCAGAAAGTTCTGCAGACGTCACCAGCTCCATCCACAGACTGAAGGTTAGAGACCCGAGCTTTAAACATGTGTTATTCAGACTAAAGTTACAGACCCGAGCTTTAAACATGTGTTATTTAGACTAAAGTTACAGACCTGAGCTTTAAACATGTGTTATTCAGACTAAAGTTACAGACCTGAGCTTTAAACATGTGTTATTCAGACTAAAGTTACAGACCTGAGCTTTAAACATGTGTTATTCAGACTAAAGTTACAGACCTGAGCTTTAAACATGTGTTATTCAGACTAAAGTTACAGACCTGAGCATTAAACATGTGTTATTCAGACTAAAGTTACAGACCTGAGCTTTAAACATGTGTTATTTAGACTAAAGTTACAGACCTGAGCTTTAAACATGTGTTATTTAGACTAAAGTTACAGACCTGAGCTTTAAACATGTGTTATTTAGACTAAAGGCCTCCTTTGGCCTCTGTAGGCCTCTTTGGTCCTCCTTGGTCCTCCTTGGTCCTCCTTGGGCGTCCTTGGGCCTCCTTGGGCCTCCTTGGGCCTCCTTGGTCCTCCTTGGTCCTCCTTGGAGACCTCAGACTGTGTTTTGTCTCCTCAGAGTTTCTTGAAGAGCTCAGAGCCAGAGAGGCGTCTGCAGCAGCTGCGCTCTCAGCTGCAGCGAGGACAGAAGCAGCAAGACCAGCAGCAGGACCAGCAGCAGGACCAGCAGCAGGGCCAGCTGCAGGACCAGCAGCAGGACCAGCAGCAGGAGCTGAAGGAGGTGCAGGACTTCCTCCAGGAGCAGCAGAAGGAGGTGGACACGTTCAGAAGACACTGTGAGGGACGTCTGCAGCAGATGGAGGAGCTGCAGGAGCTTCTGCAAAGGTACCATGTGTCACAGGTACCATGGGTCGCAGGTACCAGGGGTCACAGGTACCATGTGTCACAGGTACCATGTATCACAGGTACCATGGGTCGCCGGTACCAGGGGTCACAGACACCATGTGTCACAGACACCATGTGTCACAGGTACCATGGGTCACAGTTACCATGTGTCACAGGTACCATGGGTCACATGTACCAGGGGTCAGAGGTACCATGGGTCACAGGTACCAGGGATCACAGGTACCATGTGTCAGAGGTACCGTGACTCACAGGGCCCTCTGTCCACAGGCTTCAGAGACAACACAACAGACTGAGGGAGTGGCTGCAGATGCAGGAGCAGGCGTCCTCTGCCCCAGGGCGGCTGCGACTTCAGGAGCTACAGGACGCAACGTGAGCTCCTCCACCATCCACATGTTTATGTTTACGTCCACATGTTTATGTTTATGTTTATGTTTACATCCACATGTTTATGTTTATGTTTACGTCCACATGTTTACGTCCAGATGTTTATGTTTACGTCCAGATGTTTATGTTTATGTTTACATCCAGATGTTTATGTTTATGTTTATGTCCAGATGTTTATGTTTACGTTTATGTTTATGTTTACATCCAGATGTTTATGTTTATGTTTATGTCCAGATGTTTATGTTTACGTTTATGTTTATGTTTATGTCCAGATGTTTATGTTTACGTTTACATCCAGATGTTTATGTTTATGTCCAGATGTTTATGTTTACGTTTATGTTTATGTTTACGTCCAGATGTGTCAGACATAGCTCCGTCTTATTACAGCTGCAGCAACTCATCTGTTTCAGAGCTAAAGTAGCTAATGTGTTACAGAGTGGGAGCTCTCTCAGAGATACAGTAGCTAACAACGCTGACATAGCTACCATAGCTCCCATAGCTAACATAGCTAATGTGTTGCAGAGTGGGAGTGGGAGCTCTCTCAGCGTTACTGAGCTCCGTGCAGAGACAGGGAGTGAGAGGAGACGCTCTGCTCCGAGACTGTGACCTACTGCTCCAGAGGTTCTCCCAGCTGCAGAAGACAGTCCAAGACCAAGTCCAGACCCAAGACCAGGCCCAGGCTCAGGCCCCGGACCAGACCCAGGACCAGGCCCAAGACCAGGCTCAGGCCCATAACCAGACCTGCCTTGAGTTAGACCGCTTCAAGAGCAAGAGCGAAGAGACCAGGACCTGGATCAGACAACTGCAGCAGCCAATCAGCTCCAAGAAGACAGAGGGCCAGGAGACCAAAGACCAAGCTGAGGTGAGACCAGAGACCTGAGAGACCAAAGAGAGACCTGATAGAGACCTGAGAGACCAGAGAGAGACCTGAGAGACCAGGCAGAGACCTGAGAGAGGCCAGAGAGAGACCTGATAGAGACCTGAGAGAGACCAGAGAGAGACCTGAGAGAGACCAGAGAGAGACCAGAGAGAGAGATCAGAGAGAGACCAGAGAGAGACCAGAGAGAGACCAGAGAGAGACCTGAGAGAGACCAGCGAGAGACCAGAGAGAGACCAGAGAGAGACCAGAGAGAGACCTGAGAGAGACCAGAGAGAGATGAGAGAGACCAGAGAGAGACCAGAGAGAGACCTCAGAGACCACACACAGTGGGCCATTCAATGCCGCTTGCTGCTCTCAGTAACTGCCTGTGTCTTTTGTGTTTGTGTGTGTGTCTGTGTGTGTGTGTGTCTGTGTGTGTCTGTGTGTTTGTGTGTAGACCGTGCTGAAGTCCAGAGCTGAGGGAGACTGCAGAGTGGAGGATCTGAGGGTCCAGAGTCAGACCCTGTTGGACCGGAGTCTGGACCAGAACCAGGTCTGTGAGGTCCAACAGCAGATGAGAGAGACCGACGAGTCCTTGATGTCTGCTCTGGATCAGATCCAGTCCTCCCTGAAGACCATAGAGACCAGAACTCAGAAAGACCAGCTGTACCAGGACCTGGATCAGTTCAAGGACCAGAGCGACTCGGCCCAGGCCTGGATCTCAGACCAGGAGGAGCAGAGGAGGAGTCTGAGACTGCTGCAGACGGACCAGAAGCTTCAGCTGGCTCAGGTGAGACCAGGACCAGGTGTATGAGGACCAGGTGAGACCTCCTCAGACCAGGACCAGGTTTATGAGGACAAGGTGAGACCTGCTCAGACCAGGACCAGGTGTATGAGGACCAGGTTAGACCAGACCAGGACCAGGTGTATGAGGACCAGGTGAGACCAGACCAGGACCAGCCGTTGCCACTGTTTTCTCAGATCTTTCTTCTAAAACTGTATTTCCCACATTCATGCTTCTTTTTTCCTTCTTTCCTGCTCCTCCTCCTCCTCCTCCTGCTCCTCCTCCTCCCACTCCTCCACCTATTCCTCCTCCCTCTTCTCCTCCTCCTCCCTCTTCTCCTCCTCCTCCCTCTCCTCCACCTCTCCCCACCTCCTCTTCCCCTCCTGCACCTCCTCAGTCTCTGGTCAGCTGCAGACCTGTGGGAGACTCTCTGCTGCTGCAGTTGAGGCTCTTGGCTCAGACTTTGGTTCAGAGCCCACTTCTCGACGCTCCTCAGAGCCGGCTGGTGGAGGCCGCGATGAAGGAGGCGGAGGAGCAGTGGAGCGCTGTGTTTGCTGCTGCAGAGGAGGCGCTAAAGGAGGCGCAGAGGGAGGAGGCCACTCTCCGAGAGTACGAGGCCTTCAGGGAGACCGGGGCACAGCTGCAGATCTGGGTCCAGGAGCAGAGGCAGCGGGTCTCCCTGGGGGGTCCTCAGACGGGTCCTGACAGGCTGCAGCTGGCACGGGTAAAGCCAGGGAACTTGTGTTGGTCGCTCTAAAGACTCTTCCTCTTCCTCAGACTCAGCTCTAAATCTTCCTCCTCTTCCTCTTCCTCAGACTCAGCTCTAAACCTTCCTCCTCTTCCTCAGACTCAGCTCTAAACCTTCCTCCTCTTCCTCTTCCTCAGACTCAGCTCTAAACCTTCCTCCTCTTCCTCTTCCTCAGACTCAGCTCTAAACCTTCCTCCTCTTCCTCAGACTCAGCTCTAAACCTTCCTCCTCTTCCTCTTCCTCAGACTCAGCTCTAAACCTTCCTCCTCTTCCTCTTCCATAGACTCGGCTCTAAACCTTCCTCCTCTTCATCTTCCTCAGACTCAGCTCTAAACCTTCCTCCTCTTCCTCAGACTCAGCTCTAAACCTTCCTCCTCTTCCTCAGACTCAGCTCTAAACCTTGCTCCTCTTCCTCTTCCTCAGTCTCAGCTCTAAACCTTCCTCCTCTTCCTCAGACTCAGCTCTAAACCTTCCTCCTCTTCCTCAGACTCAGCTCTAAACCTTCCTCCTCTTCCTCTTCCTCAGACTCAGCTCTAAACCTTCCTCCTCTTCCTCTTCCTCAGACTCAGCTCTAAACCTTCCTCCTCTTCCTCAGACTCAGCTCTAAACCTTCCTCCTCTTCCTCTTCCTCAGACTCAGCTCTAAACCTTCCTCCTCTTCCTCTTCCATAGACTCGGCTCTAAACCTTCCTCCTCTTCATCTTCCTCAGACTCAGCTCTAAACCTTCCTCCTCTTCCTCAGACTCAGCTCTAAACCTTCCTCCTCTTCCTCAGACTCAGCTCTAAACCTTGCTCCTCTTCCTCTTCCTCAGTCTCAGCTCTAAACCTTCCTCCTCTTCCTCAGACTCAGCTCTAAACCTTCCTCCTCTTCCTCAGACTCAGCTCTAAACCTTCCTCCTCTTCCTCTTCCTCAGACTCAGCTCTAAACCTTCCTCCTCTTCCTCTTCCTCAGACTCAGCTCTAAACCTTCCTCCTCTTCCTCTTCCTCAGACTCAGCTCTAAACCTTCCTCCTCCTCCTCTTCCTCAGTCTCAGCTCTAAACCTTCCTCCTCTTCCTCAGACTCAGCTCTAAACCTTCCTCCTCTTCCTCAGTCTCAGCTCTAAACCTTCCTCCTCCTCCTCTTCTTTAGACTCAGCTCCAAACCTTCCTCCTCTTCCTCAGACTCAGTTCTAAACCTTCCTCCTCTTCCTCAGACTTAGCTCCAAACCTTCCTCCTCTTCCTCAGACTCAGTTCTAAACCTTCCTCCTCTTCCTCAGACTCAGCTCTAAACCTTCCTCCTCTCTTTCCCTCTCCAGTCCGTCCTCAGCTCCCGTCCTGAAGGGGAGGCGCGCCTGCAGGAGCTCAGCAGACAGGCCCAGACCCTGGTTCAGAGCCTGGAGCTGGACCTCCCTCTGAGAGCGGAGGTGCAGAGGGTTCTCCTTGAGGTGCAGCAGCAGTGGAACAGCACTGTGCAGCTCGCCTCCCAGAGCGAGCTCCGAACCCTCAACCACGACTTCACCCAACTCAGCCTCAGCACCCAGGCCTGGATCAGGGAGCAGCACCTCCTCCTGCAGGGAGCCAGAGGGAGGAGCCCCAGGGAGGAACTACACACAGCACAGGTGAGGAGGAGGAGAGAGGGAGGGGAGGAGCATCAGCACCTCCTTCTGCAGGGAGCCAGAGGGAGGAGCCCCAGGGAGGAACTACACACAGCACAGGTGAGGAGGAGGAGAGAGGGGGAGGGGAGGGGAGGAGCATCAGCACCTCCTCCTGCAGGGAGCCAGAGGGAGGAGCCCCAGGGAGGAACTACACACAGCACAGGTGAGGAGGAGGAGAGGAGAAAGAGGATGAGAGGAGGAGGGGAGGGGAGGAGCATGGGTCTGGATAGTTGGACTGGATTGTGGGACTGGATCATGGGACTGGATAGTTGGACTGGATCATGGGACTGGATCATGGGACTGGATCATGGGACTGGATAGTTGGACTGGATAGTTGGACTGGATCATGGGACTGGATCATGGGACTGGATAGTGGGACTGGATCATGGGACTGGATCATGGGACTGGATCATGGGACTGGATCATTGGACTGGATAGTTGGACTGGATAGTTGGACTGGATCATGGGACTGGATCATGGGACTGGATCATGGGACTGGATAGTGGGACTGGATCATGGGACTGTATCATGGGACTGGATAGTGGGACTGGATCATGGGACTGGATCATGGGACTGGATCATGGGACTGGATAGTGGGACTGGATCATGGGACTGGATAGTGGGACTGGATCATGGGACTGGATCATGGGACTGGATAGTGAGACTGGATCATGGGACTGGATAGTGGGACTGGATCGTGGGACTGGATCATGGGACTGGATCATGGGACTGGATAGTGGGACTGGATCATGGGACTGGATAGTGGGACTGGATCGTGGGACTGGATCGTGGGACTGGATAGTGGGACTGGATCATGGGACTGGATCATGGGACTGGATCTCTTGCAGATGGTGCTGGGTTCCAAGCCTGACGGAGACTGCAGTGTGAACAACCTTCGCAGACGAGGACAGAGTCTGAAGGATCACGAACATCTGAGCGAGGAGAGGAGACAGCACCTCCAGGAGACCGTCTCCCAGACCGAGGAGCAGTGGAGGAGCCTGCTCCAGTCCGCCAAGGAGGTGCAGAGGAGAGCTGAGGAGGAGCTGAGAGAAGAGGAGCAGAGGAGAGAGAGAGAGGTGAGAAACTGCGAGAGGAGAGAGGGAGAAGTAAGGAGCTGAGAGAGGAGGAGTAGAGGAGAGACATGAAGAGCTGAGAGAGGAGGAGCAGAGGAGAGACATGAGGAGCGTAGAGAGTAGGAGCAGAGGAGAGACATGAGGAGCTCAGAGAGGAGGAGCAGTGGGAGGAGGAGCAGAGAGAGGAGGTTCAGTGAGAGGAGGAGCAGTAAGAGGAGGAGCAGAGAGAAGAGGAGCAGAGAGAGGAGGAGCAGTAAGAGGAGAAGCAGTAAGATGAGGAGCAGAGAGAGGAGGAGCAGTAAGAGGAGGAGCAGTGAGAGGACGAGCAGTGAGAGGAGGAGTAGTGAGAGGAGGTGCAGTGAGAGGAGGAGCAGTGAGAGGAGGTGCAGTGAGAGGAGGTGCAGTGAGAGGAGGTGCAGTGAGAGAGGACAGAGAGCAGCCGTCAGAGTCTCGCAAACAGAAGCAGAAGAATCTGAAGTGGTCCAAGGTCTGAGCCCTGGGGAACACCACACAGTCCGAGAGACTCAATGATGTGTGTCTGTGTCTGTGTGTGTGTGTCTGTGTGTGTGTGTGTGTGTGTGTGTGTGTGTGTGTGTGTGTGTGTGTGTGTGTGTGTGTGTGTGTGTGTGTGTGTGTGTGTGTGTGTGTGTGTGTGTGTGTGTGTGTGTGTGTCTGTGTTTGTGTCTGTGTGTTGCAGTTAGTGCAGTGTGAGTCCCTGAAAGAAGCGTCTCGTCAGTGGATCTCAGATCTTCAGGAAAAACTGGATTCACTGAAAAAGCTCAGAGCAGAAGAACGACTGCAGAGGGCTCAGGTTAGCTCTAACTTATCTCTAACTCAGGCTCTAACTAAGACTATAACTCAGCTCTAACTCAGACTATAACTCAGACTCTAACTCAGCTCTAACTCAGCTCTAACTCAGACTCTAACTAAGACTATAACTCAGCTCTAAAGGCGCGTTCAGACCAAAAGCTTCAAAAAGCTTTTGACGCGCTTCAACTGACGCCGGGATAGTTTTGTCATTTTGGTGCTTGAAGCTTTTGACGCGAGTGACGCGCCTGACGCCGGTGGGAGGAACTTCTCTGTTGTCTGTAGTCAGGACAGCGGTGGATTTTTCAATGAGCAGCGAGCCTTTATTTGTTATATAAAGCAAAATAACGTTGTTGTAGGGCTTCAACAAAACATGTTCTGGGTTCACCACAGACTTGAGAGGCTGCAGTGTTTGCAGAGTTCTGTCATTTACTCCAGGAGCTGCGTACGGAGGAGTTTCGCTTTCAGCGGTACTTCCGCATGTCACTTGCCCAGTCTGAGTTCTCAAACCCCGGAGCTCGCCTCTCCCCGCCTCGCTCTCGCCTCTCCCCGGCCCGGCTCTCGCTCGCCTCTCCCTGCCTCTCCCCGGCTCTCGCTCGCCTCTCCCTGCCTCTCCCCGGCTCTCGCTCGCCTCTCCCCTGCCTCTCCCCGGCTCTCGCTCGCCCGGAGCTGCCTTGCTCTGAACCAGACTCATCGTCAGCCTGTTCTTATATTAAATAAACTACGTTTACTACACAGCATGTGTACAATGATTTTTGTTACTCAGAATTTTACTACTCATACAAATAATATTACTAATAACAATAATGACAATAAAACAGCAGCAGCATGACTTCTCTTCATGACAGAGACAGACCCTCTGCTGCTGCTGCTCCTCGTCTCCTGATTGGTTGAAGCCTGCGTCAAAGCTTCAAAAGCTCAGCTTTGCTCAACTTCGGCGTCAAAGGGATTGTTGTGATACGCGAGCGTTTCGCGCGTCAAAAGCTTCAAGAGTCGCGCGTAGTACGCGCGACTCTTGAAGCTTTTGACGCGCGTCAAGTGACGCCGGGGCTCTCGGCTTCACCTGACGCGCTTCACCATTCACTTTCAATGGAAACCTGACGCTTTTGACGCCGAAGTTAAGTCCGGTGTGAACGCCCCTTAACTCAGACTATAACTCAGACTCTAACTCAGCTCTAACTCAGCTCTAACTCAGACTCTAACTAAGACTATAACTCAGACTATAACTCAGACTCTAACTCAGCTCTAACTCAGCTCTAACTCCGCTCTAACTCAGCTCTAACTCAGACTCTAACTCAGACTCTAACTCAGACTCTAACTAAGACTCTAACTAAGACTATAACTCAGCTCTAACTCACACTCTAACTGAGACTATAACTCAGACTCTAACTCAGACTCTAACTCAGCTCTAACTCAGCTCTAACTCAGACTCTAACTCAGACTCTAACTCAGACTCTAACTCAGCTCTAACTCTGACTCTAACTCTGACTCTAACTCAGACTATAACTCAGCTCTAACTCAGCTCTAACTCAGCCTCTAACTCAGCTCTAACTAAGACTCTAACTCAGATTCTAACTGAGCTCTAACTCAGACTCTAACTCAGCTCTAACTCAGACTCTAACTCAGACTCTAACTCAGACTCTTACTCAGACTCTAACTCAGACTCTAACTCAGACTCTAACTCAGACTCTAACTCAGCTCTAACTCTGACTCTAACTCAGACAGAGGACAGAGCTGAGTTAGAAGCTCTGTCCTCTGGACTAATGTCCTCTGTCCTCTAGAATAAAGTCCTCTGTCCTCTTGACTAATGTCCTCTGTTCTCTAGACTAAAGTCCTCTGTCCTCTAGACTAAAGTCCTCTGTCCTCTAGACTAATGTCCTCTGTCCTCTAGACTAAAGTCCTCTGTCCTCTAGACTAATGTCCTCTGTCCTCTAGAATAAAGTCCTCTGTCCTCTAGACTAATGTCCTCTGTCCTCTAGAATAAAGTCCTTTGTCCTCTAGACTAATGTCCTCTGTTCTCTAGACTAATGTCCTCTGTCCTCTGGACTAATATCCTCTGTCCTCTAGACTAATGTCCTCTGTCCTCTAGACTAATGTCCTCTGTCCTCTAGAATAAAGTCCTCTGTCCTCTAGACTAATGTCCTCTGTCCTCTAGACTAAAGTCCTCTGTCCTCTAGACT